TGGATGCAGGGACAAAGCTGACGGTCAAATTTAGGACCGGGGACATTGGTCTTCGAGAACGTAGACGAAGATTTCGGAAGGTAGACAATGATGTGAAGACGATAACTTCAAAAGTGAATTAATGCGGCTCCGAGTGCGAAGACCGTTTTCATGTAGTGGCGGAATTTCGGTTGTACAAGAAGGAGAGGGAAGTGTACATGATTGAGCTGGGAAGAATAACAGGTGCAGGAAGAGTTTGAGGCATGGAATAGTGAGGAGAAGACTGTAGCTGAACTGGGGCATGGGAAGTGGGTTGAAAAGGCGGGAAGAGTGATATCGATAGGATAGAGAAGGGCAGACATTTTTTAGCCCCCTTCGGCAAAGTAAGAAGGAACGATTGGCCATCGGTGATCGGTCCTGTGGGAACAATGCTCCGTCCCCTCGAGGAGTCGTGGTCAGTTGTCTAACCGCTAAGGCATGCAAATCATGAGGGTTCCCCCCCCCCCCCCCGCCCCCATGCATCGAATCCAATCCCTATGCGGCAGCGGTGCCGGCGGGCAAACGAGTCGTGTTTTGGTGGCAATGCACCAGCGAAGAATCTTCTCAATCGATCGACGCAGTTGTTTGGGGAAGAAGCAGGCCCCCCCGCTGTCTTGTCTTGTCTTGTGGGGTTTGTACGAAGTTGTGCTGCATCTCCGTGCGGGGATCGGGGGCCGGGGGAAGGAAATCACCGCCGAGATTGGACGCCTTGCCTCGCGCCATTGAGCAAAACACGACAAGGAACGCGGGCCGCCGGGCCGCTGTGTTCGGACCCTGGCATTGGAGAACTAAATGTCCACCTATCCTTGGCGTTGACTTGCCTTTCTACTGTGTCTTGGTCACCGCCTTGTGCCGTGTTCTGGCCCGGTCTTGTTTTTTTATTTTTTGCTTGTCTTTTTCCACCACCACTACGTCCGCCGTTGGCGTGCCCGTTTCCCGCACGGAAATACGGAACTCATAACAAGAAACACCATTGACCTGGCACATAATTCTTGATGAAAACCCTTGAAGGAGCTGGCTGCCAAGGGACTGGACACGAAGGGCAACAAGAACGACCTAGTGGGTCGGCTGTCCACGCACGAGGCCGGCCTGACCCCCGTGGACCCCAGCGTGAAGCTAGGCACCCTGGTAGTCTGCCCAATGTCGGTCATCCACAACTGGGAGACTCAGTTCGCGGAGCACGTTAAGGAGGGCGCGCTCGACGTGAGTCGTTGCACGTGTGTGCAGGGTTTTGATTATGATGACGATCCCTAGGCCTACAGGAGCAGCTCGGTGGGGGTTCGTGTGAGAAGGGGGGGGGGGTGTACTGATGTTTTGCATGCCTGAGCGGTTAGACCATTGACCGAGGGAGGTGCTCGTGTAAACGCATACCGTAGTCGGTAGACCTCGCATCCTTACAATGCCGGGACGGAGCGATATGCCGGGTTTTCGACGAGCCAGGCTACGTTTTATAAGGATGAAGGGGGGTCAACAGGGCGAAACCGCCGTTTCGGCTTGCAGTCGTGTGAATACAGAAATCCCCGCTGCGTGAATACTTGTTTTCGTACCTTCCTTATGTGTTTTATTCTCGCCCCACCAGGTGTACGCCTACCACGGGGGGAACAGGAACCAAGACCCCACCTTTCTGGCGACCAAAGATGTGGTGAGTGGCGAGACCAGGCGAGCGCGATAGCGAGCAGGCGTTCTGTAGAGAGACACTCCGTAGCGTACAAAACAGCAATGCGTCTCTTACTCACGCACACGCGTTGCATATGCGGCAAATGTGTTGTCTCTACTTTTAGTTGTTCTGTTAGTACTATTATATGAGTCATGTTAAGGTGGAAGCACGTGTATGAGAGTATTTTTTTTACCGAAGGTTGCTCCAGGTGTATCATCGTCAGCTCAGTGTTATTGCCGCGGGTGTCCCTGCGGGCCTAGCGGCCATGGTGCATGAAACAAAGGAGAGGACAAAGGATGGCGAGTCCTGCGCTGTTGACTTAAAACGTTGCTGCTGTGATTGTTTTGTGGCCGAGAGGTGCACATGTCTCGTTTGATGTTCCCGTCGCCACCGCTGCCGCAAACGCTCTTGTCGTCGTTGCTGTTGTTGTTGAAGGTAATCACCACGTACGACACGCTTGCCAGCGACTTCTCCGCCAGCGGAGGACAGGTGTGACAAAACCTTACAATAATACCCGACCGTAGTGTTACTCTGAGAGTACGGCGAAGGGCGGAGTGGTGGGATGTAAGCACGAGTTGTCCTCTGTTAACGATAACAGGCACACAGCATACGGGGCTGTCCATGTTTGATGGCCCGGAGCTGGAGAACAGTTCAAGTCGTCGGCGCGGTCGTGTTGTCTTCCCGTTACCTCACACCCGCAACCACATGTTTCACCTCTACCGTGTGCCTCTTGTGCCGCGTCCGTGTCGTTCTCTCTTGTGTTGTGTCCCACGGCCCCCCCCGGGGGGTGAGGGGATCGGGAGCATGCAGGGTTTTGAGCCTTGCTCGGAGTTGGCACTACTGGACCGTTGATATCGTAGACACGACCCGCTCCGGTCTTGTGTACCAGCTCTTTTTTTACCCCCTTCTTTTTCTCTGTTTCTTGTTCACCCAAGGCACTTGCCTATCTGCCTTAAATCTAGCTCCTTTTTTGTTTATGTCCACCGTCGTGTCTCACACAACGCTACTGCTGCTGCTTCTGTCGCATTGCGTCTGCTCTTGTTTCCCTTCTTTCCTTCCATCCTCAGAAAGCTTTGGAGGAGGACGTCACCGCCGCGGTGGGCGGGAAGCCCAAGCGGCGGCACGGCGTGGGGGGGTTAGGGGGGAACCGCGTCGTCCTGGACGAGGCTCACCCCTTCAGGAACAACAAGACCAACAAGCACAAGGTCAGCGAGGGGGGGGGGGGGGGTTGGGGGGTACTCATAGTCGTGCATGCCGTAGTCATTAGACCATTGACCTCGCATCCCTACAAAGCCGGGACGGAGCACGCCGGGTTCTCACCGGACCAGGCTCTCACATCACCAAGCGCGAAGCACCGTGAGGTATTTGGCGAGTCGCATGAAGGGTGAGCTGCATCCTGCTAAGGGTGTTCGGCATCTTCTGCTTACTTCCTTGCGTACGGATGACAGCTACGTATGACTTAATTTATTTTCTGGTGCTTTCACTTCCAGAGACAGTTGTAAGCACTGTGTAACTGCCTCGAGGGTGCTTGACCAATATTAACACAACGTGGTGCGATCATCCCCCGTTGCGCGGAGTGAGGGTTCTCCACCCCGCACAACATCATCTACTCGACCACCATTATGGTTACCGCCAAAAAAAAAAACCAACGTAAAAAAAAAAAAACGGTAACCTGGTTGCCGAGTTCACGAAGTGAATTGGCTTGTTTTACAACGTCGTTGCCAAGCGACGAAAACCCAACCCCGATGGTAAACACCGGGGGGGGGGGGGGGGACCCCTAATCCTGCATGCCCTAATCCTTAAACCATTTAGGGGGGGGGGGGGGGGGGGGGCCCC